GTGGTGGTGGTGGTGGTGGTGGTGGTGGTGGTGGTGGTGGTGGTGGTGGTGGTGGTGGTGGTGGTGGTGGTGTATTTACTGAGCCGCAGTGACATGCCAGAAATGGCTGGCAACGTTAAGAGCCACTTTTGACCATCAATTTTGCTTTAAAGCGCGAGTTGGTAAGGCTTCTTGTCTTACGAAAAAGTACTGACCATGCAACAACAAACACACAAGGAATTTCTGTTCATCCCAACTGTCGCGCGAATGGACTGTGACATTTTTTAGCGTTTGTGATAACATGTGATTCACCTGGCGCGCTGTTGTTTATAACAGTGGAACTTAGGCAAGACTGTTCGGTTATAAAGAGGACTACGCGGCCGTAGGTAAGCCGGACAGAAAAAAGGTGATTTTGTGGACACTGGTCTAGTGAAGTGTGCACAAAATAGTGCGACATGTGGCTATAAAGCGCATACGAGCACACAGTCGTTGTCTGGTGTTTGTTTTAGCAAAATCATTTACCCGCCATAGTTCAGAGCCGCCTCCTCCAACATCTTGATTCTGATTGGACAAAAGAGTTAGTATATGTAGGTGCTGACACGATGATTGATCGTTCTTTACGGCAAAAGGAGGGGGAGGCGGAATTGCCAAAATCTAGATCTCTGTCTGAATCTAGTAGTGATTTTACGTTAGTCGAATGTACTTAGCAGCGATTGCGTGGTATGAGTCAGCTTTCCTCGTTATCCACCGCTAAAATTACCAATCAGAAACTATGCCTGTGATGCTTATGGCGGCATTTGTGGGCAAGGCATAGTCACTCGACAACTGGAAACAACTGTTGAAGGTCCTCCTGATGCAAGTGTTTGTTTGTGTCGTCGTGGGTCTAAACCATCACGTAAACAAACCAAGCCATAACTGTCCATACAAAGAATCCGATTTAAGCAGCCTCTACGTGGTTTGAAGTTGCATACCCTGCGAGAAGATTGGCAGTGAAATGAAGTGATCCATCGGCACCACCTCCTCCTCCTAAGCATCCACGTTTTAACACGGATCTTTAGAATAGTCGACAAGGCTTTCACCCTACGTGTAGATTCGTCACGTGCTTACTTTAAGTCCTTCCAATTTAATGGTAGTTAAAAAACTATTAACTTGAAAAGTTGGCATTGCAATGCTAAAAGAGGAAGTGGAAGTAAATGCTTAAATAGCCTATGAAAAATGACATTGCCGGCTGGACTAAGAAAAGGTTTTGTGAACTGCCAAGTTAATGTAGCTCGTAGATCCCTTTGAATTGGTCAGTTCATGCTATCGGCAGCGTGACTGCGGGGCAGCAATATCATTGGCTTGTTTTGTCGCTGCGGTCATTGGTTGAGAGCTGTTTCTATTGATTCTATTCGTCGTTGTCTCACTAACTGAGGTGACGAGTGTTTGGCATAGAGTAGACGTGTTACACGGGACAAAAAGACATTGCCAAGCTTGTTTTGGTGAAAAAAATATGTCTGACACCAGTTTCAGCGCATGCCAATCACGGACTGGTATCACAACAATGCCAACTTGGAAAGTGTACGCAAGTTTTCACACTGTCGAGGTCGCTGCCGGAAGTCCGCTTTTGCAAAGTCCAATATTCAGCCAGCAGTCAGCGAGCTAACTCGTCTTCACAAAACATGGACAATTTTTCTCTCTTATCTGACCAATTACACAATGCGTGAAATTCTAATGAGAGTTGACAGGCCCAATTGCTAGCTTCACGACCAACTCTTTCCCTTGATTCGCAGTATCCAAGGCTAGGAGTGTTTAATTGCACGGCTGCATTCGTTTCAGTCCATTTGTGACTCTTTTTTGGACTTGTTCGAGGGAAAATTTGGTGTCTCTGGCACAAATCACGTCAGTTTAGGAGTGTCGAGGTTGAGGGTGACTTTGCATGACGTACAGAAATCGGTAATCTACAAGAAGCGCTTGTTCACATATTCTTTCTCGTGGTGTATGACTGTGGAGTGCGAATTCGTTGCACGGAACACTTACAAGTGCTAATTTAGCTCAATTAATCACATAATCCAGTACTAGTGCCTTTCGCCGGCTTCAGCAAGAAGGCGTTTGCCGTTAACACGATAAATTTTAAGCGCGTTGAATCCGGCTTAAAATATTCATCTTGTCATGAAGCACTCTGCATCCTTGTAATTTAAAAAAAAGGCGCCAAAAGCAGATTTTAAACGCCGAGTGAACGTTTCGAGACCCTAGTGCATGATACATTTACAAAAAACAAATAATTATGTTTGCTGCTTTATTCTGCGAGCAACGTAAAATTTTAGGATTCTAGAAAGCGAGAAGTGTGTAAATACCACAGTAGAAGGCAAATTTGGGTAAAATTTTTCGCCGCAAATAACACATTATTGTGAGTTTCATTCATGATATGCAACATCTGCCTCGCATAGTGAGGGACGCCATAGAGACAACTCAGAGAGCAATAGATAGTACCGACTTATTCTTGCCACTCATGATGTTCCCTTCGGATGTAATCGTGAACATCGACTTAAAACCAGTGAATAATCCGTAACAATGAAAACGACTTGAGTTAGATAGGCCCATCATCTGAAAGCGACAATTCATTGCAAGAATCCAGAAGGCATCAATCAAACCCACGGTCTCCCAGACTGATTACTTTGCAGGAGAGCGATAACTCCTGAAACCCCAAACCATACTGGTTGAAGTGATGATGACAGCAATAATCTTCCGGGAAGCTAATTGACGAGATTTTGGGCAAACGTCGTCAGCGACGACGACTTCAGAATCCCTTCAAGATGGACTCGCTGCAACGCAATTTCGGAGCGCGGAAGCGACCCTAGACAACCGCCTTCTGCATGGGAAACCACCAACTCCACATCCGATAGCAGACCGCAAGATTTTTGCGCCAATTGACTTCCTGAAGACTATTCTTCGTTTGACAAATTTACATTCGAAAAACCGGATGTCAGATGAGCGGACGTCCACTACGCATGCCCAGAGCCTGGTCGGCGGCGATTTGGCCAAGTCATGTCCAAACTAAGCAGCAACGCGAACGACCCCCACAAATGACAGAAAAAGAACCCAAACAAATCAGTAGCAAATTACTTTGGGACTCAATTGTGCGCAGACAAACGCTCGGCTCTCACTAAACACACACACCTACACACAGGGGAAAGGGGAAGCTGGGAGGGAGCGGGGAGGAGCAGCTTATGTACAAAATATATACGGCATCATGAAGTAGGGGTGGTGGGGCGGTCACTTCCGTTTCTGCGAGGAACGACTGGGCGTGCCAGCACCTCCGGCGCTGCGTCTGCGTGAGGGAGATGGTGTCCGGGAGCGAGAACGGCGCGACCGACGTGGCGATCGATCGCGATGACGACCCTACAAGACACGCAAAACAACACAGTGATGGTTCGTCCGCCTCCACAACACACTCTCCCACGCCGTCTAAGGATCAAGCAGCACGCGGCGGACGTACCTCATCTTCGCGATGCTTGGCGCGTTTCAGCTGGCCCGGAACACTGCCAGCATCATCGTCAGAGGCTTCTCCCTCCTCGCGGGGCTCTGGCGCGTCGTCTCTGAAGCGCTTCTCCGTGGACGGCACCGAAGACTCGGAGTCACTCGGGGGGTTGGAGGATCGTTTTCGCGAGGAACGAGTCGATCGTGGTGGCGAATGTCCGCCGTGGCGCTTGCTGCTGCTGCCATGGTGACGCCTCGTGGTATTGGAGGCGGAAGAGGAAGACGAGGGTTTCGACTTGGATGACTTGCTGCCCGATGCGGACTTGGAGATCTTGTGAGTGGGAGAGGGACTCGAGTCCTTGGACTCTCCCAGACGTTCCAGCAGACGCTCACGGAAACGCTCGACTTGCTAGAATGCGAGACGGGAAATTTAATGCTGGTGGTTGGTTTGCCACACGCTAAATCTGTAGGAGCAACTGGCTATCATAGTTAAAAACGTGTCTAACGGATTACACGCGGATTCTGTCATCACCTTGGCAATCGCTTCGTCGGAAACAGCTGATTCACCCTTCTTTCGACAGGCTTCCAGTTCGTCCTGGTATTTGACCACCTTTACCTCGATTTCACGCAGAGCCTGGCGTCGGGAATCGGACATGGGCTCGTTCGCAGCGGTGTTGGGGGGTGGAGATGGAGGCGAGAGGGCGTCGTCGTCATCGTAGGCAACAAGACCCAATCCCGCTGCGCCGAAACCGTCCAGGGGCCTAAGGAAGGGAGCACAGTGCACGATGTTCAATTTGATCAGAGCTCTCTACTTAAATAAAATGCGTAGACGTTTAATGCCGGTCGTGGAGGCACAGCTAACACACAAACTCACGCACACAAAAAATCACCAAGCGATTACTCACTTTCCGTCGACGTCCTCGTCGTTTTCAGTAGGATCATTCTGTGCGGTGGATGAGGATCCGGGAGTCTCCTTTGGCTGAGAACGTCCGTCATCGTCGGCGAAAAGGTCCCATCGATTCGACGTGACTGCCTCTTCGGCGGCTTTGCTAGGATCTATGGACTCCCACTTGCTGGGTACAAACAGAGGGGCTGGAGCAGAGGGCTTTGTGGACTCCAGAGGTGGCGTTTTTCTAGGCAAAAAAATGACCTTCATGAGAACGAGAAGGTGCGAAAAACCAGCACGCACGCGAACGCCAACTCACCCGGTATCAAGGGGTACGCCCTCGAAGTCGTCGTCGTCGTCTGCGTCGCCACCACCGCTAGCCAATGGGCTGCCATCGACATCCAGAGGGTCACCGTCGTATTGAACGAGTGGAGCACCGTCTAGCGACTCCACGTTCGAGGTCACTGCGGTCATGCCGGTGGGTTTTGTCGTGGTCTCGGATTCCAGGGGCACGCCAACAGCGTCATCTTCGTCGCCTGACGTCTTCGTGTTCACCTGAAATAATCGAGGAATGTTTGATCGAAAATCGATAATCTTTGGTTTGGGAATACGATTGCAGTTCAAGCAGAAGGTGATCAAGATTTCCGGAATGACTTTGCTTGAAGAAGAGGGTAGACGCCTCTTGTTAACACAAAAAAGCTACTACGCTAGCAGACAACTGGAAGCTTACATTGGGCGTGAGACCGAGGAAGACGTTCTGCAGTTGAATGAGAAAGTCGTTGGGATAGATGGCCCAGTCCTCCCACGCACGGAAACACAGCATCACCTTTTGCTGAAAGAGCCAATAGTTAGCTTTGTGAGATTAGCTATGGGCGATTGGTTGCACAAGGAAAGACTTGTTTCTGATTGGATAAGGCACGAAGAGAAATAATGACGTGTTGGTAATTCAGCTAATGATCGTTTTGGTGAAATCGAGTCCAAACAACGTGAATTTTAACTCGGCAAATTCGATTACACAAAACAACTGCATTGCAGTGAGAAAACAGAACTATTGATCCAAGTATCTGCACTTAGCGTACCTTCAGCTGCTCTGCCTTGAGCTTGCTGTCCAGTTCACGGTAGAAGGAACCAACGTCGGTGAACATTTCAAAGAGACGACTTTCAAAGCTGAAGAACAACAAGGAAGTAGCGTCAGTTCAAAATCAATCAACTCCGCTTAAACATCGACAGCGAAAAAAGCTTTTAGTCAAAGGATAGGGCCACAACTTGCCACCGTCGGTAGTAGGAGGCATTCGGTACTTTGGCACCAGAGTTGTAGAGGATGTCCGACGTGAGGTAGAGGCGTGCCACGACGGCCTGAATGGACGTGGCTGGTTTCACCGTCAAGGCGTCTCCGTCGTCGTCGTCGTTGTCATCATCAACACCGACCTCCTTGTGACTGTGGCGTTTCGAGGCCTCCTCCTTGTCATCGCTTGTTGGCGGCCTCTTGAGAGACTTGGCGATGAGATCGACGACGTCAAAGGCGGCGTCGGCGTGTTCCAGACACCAGTGCATCACGTCACCGACCTGGGCCCGAGACGGTTCAAGATCGTTGATCCACACGGACAAACGACCGCGTTGGGCCTCAGTCAGGCCCGTGCCGCCACCGCCGCCTCTATCTCCACCACCACGACGGATGGCATCATCACGAGTGTCCGGACTAGACGGTGAGAGGAGAGGTTACACTATCGCTAGCTCCTGGAAGGCATAGACGTCAATGCGGAAAGGACTTACTCGATGAGATCGTCGTTTCGACCGACGGTGTAGCCCGGAGCGAAGGGGTAGTCGGCCTCTTCGACCAGGTCTTCGGGCATTCCGTTGGTGAAGAAGTTGACTGGTGGCGGTCTCCACAGCGGACCACCCTCGTACATGCGGAACTCATCCAGACTCCACTTATTGACTGATTCACCCTAATACGAAGGAAGAGAGCGGAGAATCAGTTGCTTGGGTGAATTGTCATGGATACGCGCGTGGTTGTTTCAGGTAAAAATAAGGCAATTTCCCGAAAAACTTACGTGGAGGATAGACCAGAGTTTCCATCGATAGTACAAGTGCTCCGGGGTCTGGTAGTCGAATAGAAACCTAAAACGAAAAAAATAGACAACCATTGGGTTAAGAAACTACAGGTTGCAGCACGCGGTGTCAAGTTCACGTACTTGTATTGCGGATTTTTTTCTTCCCTGTGCATAATAGCTGCCTCAAATTGGGGTCCTTCGCGCACAACGAACTCAATCAGCCGATGAATAGTGGCTAGCATAGTTCTGAAAGAAAGGTCTATTGGCGAAATTGACAGCTCACCTATCCGTGGGTATAACAACTTTCACGACCGCTTCCTGCAACACCTAGACGAGGGTCAAAAGAATTCAAGGTTTGAAGTTGATCAAGATTCTAGATCTACATCAGGCAATAACGAAGCTCCTTTTAAGACAAGGTCCTTAATCTGATTTCACGAACAGCTAAAAAGCATGCACTGGCCTAAGTGACTCGACTTCGGCTACTTAGAATTCAACCTGGGGTGACGCAAGAACCAAAACCAACCGATCTCGGGCAACACGTAAAAAAAGCCAATTCACCTCGGCAAAATTTTCTTTTCCCATCGTGTGAATGTTGTAGGGGAATCGATCTGGAGCAGGGGGAATGGTGGGAGCAGGAGAGTCACCATTGCCGATCGCATCGGTGACGAGTTTGGCTCGCTCCTTGATCGATGAACGCAGGGATTTGAGCCACTCACGCGGCTGAGCGTTGAAGGGCAAACCCGACTGTGACGGGGGCTTGATGAGTTCGAGCAGAGGGGGAGGAATGTAGACGGGATACACAGGGATCGGTACCGTCTTGCCCCAACCCAACTTCATCTCGTATCCCAGTAGTTCTTTGCCTGAAAAAGAGCCCGAAAGATGTAAGGACATCCGAACTACAGTCAGTACAAAATGGGCACTTGGGAGCAGAAAATAAGAGTAGAGGTCCGCAAAATGAAGCCTAGGCTTTGAGTTGGAGTAATAAATATAAGCAGGGGGTTAAGAATTTGAAAATTTGACCATGTTTAACCTCTCGGACGGACAGTCAACATACCTCTGAGATTTTCCAGGGCGCGTTCAGCATCAACACGATTCATGAAGGCAACAAATCCACAATTCCTGGCCACAGCACGCTGCTCTTCGGTGCGCGGCCACATAATCTTTACGCTGGCCAAAGGGCCATATCGTCCGAAAATCTCACACAATTGTTGCTCTGTCATCTGTGGACACAAATTCCCTAAGAAGAGATTTGTTGTGGACTTGTCTGCATCCTCGTCATAAGGATATCCAACTAGATATATGACTGTGAGTCGTAAAGTAGAAAACCGTACATTCCCGCATTCGATTCCGCCTGTCCATATCATCATACTCGAGGGATAGTTCAGATGGGGGCAGTTCGGGCGGCATTTTAGCGTCTGGGACACCTTTAGCACGGTTTTGTTGTCTTAGTTGATGGCGCTGTTCGCGTTGCTGCTGGATGCTAACAATTAAGATTATGAGGGCGTTTCTGGGCGCTATAACTACCTTTTTAGTTCCTCTTTGAACAACTCCAAATTCGACATCTTCTTACCCTGGCCGGGCTTTTTACCGATAATCTAAGCAAATATACACGTAAATTAATCATACAGGTTTCTTCGACGCATCTGCTTTTGGTTCGACTTTTCCTACCTCAAGAGTCTTGGATGTTTTGTCACCGAATTTAGAAAGAGGTTTATAAACAGTGGGTGCAGGAGTATCTGTCTTGCTTTCTACTGGTAGAGATTTTATTAAAACCGCAAATTTCATACCATCACCTACAGGATTTACGACACCTCCTTTAACCCAAGCACGATCAAGTTTACTAGATTGTTGGAACGTGGCTTCAAAATCCCGAAGAGCCTTAGCAGTCTCCTCTTCCTCGGCCTAAATTACAAAAGGAACCAAATTTAAATTAAAATTTCGAGTTTTCTGTGAAAAGCTTTATGCTGCAAGTGAGATAATTTTGAGGTTCAATAAATTCAAACTACCCCACATTCAACGCGACGGATGTATGCCATAAAAACTTAATGGATTAGCACCAAAACTTTCGTTCCAAAACTAGAGTAGATGTGATAGCATCACAGGATAATCTACCTTAGAATGCGTACAAGCAAATGTTAACTGCACACAACATGCATAAAATAATGTCAAAGAATTTAACGAAACAGTGAAATAAAAAAAGAAATTTTTACCTTCCGCTTCAACTCTTCTTCAGCTTTTCTAAGCATTGCAACCTTATAATGAAGAAACTAAATTTCATATAAGGCAATCTCTGCCAGTGTGACAAACAACCATTAAGGCACAAAAACCCCACAACCTCAAATCTAGTACCAAATCGGCAAATTAGTATTTTAAACAAACAAATAATGATTTGCAAAATCTACATAAATTATTAAGAAACAACATTATATAATTGTTTTTTATTTCTATGTCTTCTAAATGTGACGCTAAATAATTTTAGATGATGCCATTCCATTTTGTGATACCTACCACTCTCAACATGGTAACATTTGAATTATTATTAACTATAATATTCACGACCAACGGTATAAAGGGGGCAAATTATATTTCGAAAAGGCTGATGAAATGTAGTCGCTGAATTTACTTGTTTTTTAATCGATCACTGGCATGGTAAAACGAAATCGCGACCTCAATAACATAATTTCTAAGGTTCATTTATGCTAACACAATAATGAGAAAATATCCATCTTTCTAATCATACACTCCAAACCCGGTATCAATTCCCTTCTTTGACCATAGTGACTTGCTTGAAATTGCCGGTTAATAATATTATTTTTTCAGCTAGTTAAGGTCTATATTTTAATTTTCTGTATGTTTAATAGTTTTACTCTATGTATTTGAAATACTAAATTGTTATGGTCTTTTTAGTGGCCCGCATTACGTCATATTCATTTAATTAAATCGAGACTTGTACGGTCATTGTTAGCAAAAGACATTTAGGGTTCCATTTGCGCATATTTCAGGAAATTGCAGTGCGATTTTTTATTCATCCGTGTTTTTGTGGCATATTTTCATGGGCAAATTTTTTATCATCGAATGCCTTTAAAGTCCGCTGCTCTATAATACGGCTTTAAGCAAATACCACTCTACATTTATTCTTAAATATTTATTTACGTAATGTTTCAACGTGGCTTACACTGTTTTACTGATTTTATTCAATGCTTTATGGTAAAAGTGTTTCCATGAAATAAGCAGCGCACTTACAATTCAATCGTGATCACAATTTATTAATTTGTTTTTTTTTATTTTTCATTCAGCGCCATGACTCCAGCAATAGTTTTCGTTTACTAACACGCGCTGGAATTTCAGAACTATGTTGAGGATATGTAGGCCAGACAGATATATGCTACACATATATCACATTTATTTTGCAGAAAATGTCAGGCATATAATTGTCATCCATATTTGACAAATCGTTTTTAGGTTAAGCAACCTTGGTGGCTAATGCAGATATAATAGCGTTCCTCAAGAGCTATTGAGGATAACTTAAAAGTACGTAATTTCAGTGTAAAGTTACGCAAAATGAAAAGGCATATAATGCTTCTTAAACATTTGCAAAATTTTTATAATTGTGCTGTACGGTTAGTCTACAACAATCATAACTTGGTTAGCCCCGTCGTAACTAATCCGTTAACCAGTCGAACCACCTCACGATTTCAATCAAACCTAATAGTACCCAGGGAAGCTTTTTGACCAATCAGATGTCTCAATCGTTTGTGTATCAAATGTTATTCTTGTCTTATCCCCATTTTGGAGGTTTTTAAGTTGTATTTCAACTTGAAGATTAGGTAGTGCTGTGGCAGTTACCATCAAGCGTCTACAGTTCGTTTAATGCACCTTTTTATAATTACTGTCAAAAAAAGCCTGTAAAAACACAAGAAAATGTACTCCAACATCCCATGTGATGGTTGCATGTGACCTTAAGTGTAAAAGTTACGAAATCGTTTAATTTAGGGTTTGTAACACCTTTAGAAACGACAGTTTTGTATGGGGTGCATTGTCACAGTTGTATTTATTTTGGACTAAAATCTGCACCCTTAAAATCATTTATATAGCATCAAATCAGCGTAATTTCCAAAAATACCTTCTGGTTCCAAAAGCGTTAACGGTCATTAGCCTCTAAAGTCGAAGTTTAAAAAACGTTTGCAAGTTAATATGATTTGGACCTGCTATTTTTAAGTGGCTGACAACAGAACCACCTATTCAATGAGGTTACATTAATCTCGCTACATTATTTAGTTTGTAAATAATGTTTAAAGAAAACTTTTAAACTTCAAAAAACTTTTGTAAGTTAATACAGTTTAGTCTGCTATTTTTCGTGAAATACTTAAGTGGCTGACTACAGAAATGCTTAGTCAATGAGTTTATTCTAATCTCGCTACATTATTTAGTTGGTAAATATGCCACAAGCTTAGCCAAACAAGTTCAATTTTAACACCAACGAATAAACGAATAACGTGGGCAATCACGTGCAGAGGCGTATCGCATCGTCAGCCGCCATTGGCTAATTCGTATGGGTCCCATGGTCACCTTGTTGCCTGGTCAACGCGCACTTGATTACGGCTTTAAAATTCATGTACTTTAGCTTCCGTCTAAATGGCAGATCGAATAAGTAATTTTGGCTTAAAAATTAATTTTTAATGGTTAGAAAGAGGGGCATTATACCATAGGAGTGTAAGATAAGATAAGAGATAAGATAAGAAATCGCATCCAGATTTGATGGTAAAATTGGCATCTTATCAAGCACACCGTTTTTTTTCTGATGGTGAGTAAGTTTGCCGGGAAATGTACATTCGTAAAGTTTCAGCCGATGCAAAAAATCTCCGAAAACGAGGCCCTAGACAACTTAAAATGATTAACAGATTGCAGATTAGTCATTAGTTGCGCAGCATGATTTAAGTAAAAATGTGTAAATGCGCAAGGAAATTTCCGCTTTCGTGTTTAAGATTAATCAGTGAATCACGGACCAGGGCGTG